TATAGAGTCATAGAGAATGTACAGCATGGAAATAACTGTGCAGTCCAACTTGTCCATGTGAACAAGATCTTCTAAATTTAGTCTAATTTGTCCCATATCCCTCTAAACCCTTTTCTATTCATGTGGCCATCTACATTCCTTGTAAATGTTGTAATTGTACCAGCCTCAATCACTTCCTCTGGCAACTGATTCCACATATGTGACACCCTCTGCATGAAAAGGTTCCCCCCTCACCTTTAACCTATGCCCTCTAGTTTTGGACTCTGCTACCCTGGTTATTCACCCTATCCATGCCCTTCATGATTTTATAAACCTCTAAGGTCACCACTCAACCTCAGTTGCTCTGGGGGAGAAAAAGCCCTCAACTTATTCAGCCTCTCCCTTTAGTTCAAACCCTACAACCCTGGCAACATCCTTGTAAATCTTTTCTGATCCCTTTCAAGTTTCACAACATCTGTCCTATTGGATGGAGTCCAGGATTCAAGTCATAGATGTACAGCACAGAAACAGACCCTCATCCATGCTGACCAGATATCCTAAGTTCATCATGTCCCATTTGTCAATATCATGATTTTGTGATAATATTCAAACTGCTTGTTTTATATTGTTTATTCTTGCCATGAAGCTTGTAATCATTTGGGGTTTTTGATCAAATGATTAACCAAAACACAGCTTTATTAGAATCCCTACTGCATGGAAACAGGCTCTTCAGCTCCAGTCCACAGTGACTTTCTGAAGAGCATCCCACCCAGACTCCTCCTACATTCGTCCATCCCCCTATCACTCTGCATTTCTCAGGACTGATCCATATAATCTACACATTCCCAAACACTATGGGGCAATTTAGCATGGTAAATCCACCTAAACCACGCGCCTTTGGACTGTGCGAGGAACTGGAGTACCCATAGGAAGCCCATGCAGACATGGGGAGAATGTGCAAACTCCACAGCCAGTTGCCTGAGCCTGGAACCAAACCTGGGTCCCTGGTGCTGTGAGGCAGTACAGCTGCCTACTGTGCTGCCCTTGATGACCTAACTTCAAGACTTGAAAGAGATGAAGCTCCTCATGTGCCAAACCTAGATTTCTGAAAAACTTCTCACTAAGTTACTCATGAAAAGCTTTTGTCTAAACTTTATTACTATGGAATTAGGGCGACATGATTAACTTGGACCCACCAACAGAAGGCACTGATGTATGATGGGGAATCATCCTGTCCAAGTGGGCAGGGTAACATGATGGTACCTTTACTTTTCTTAGGATATGTAAATAACCTTCTCAACAAGGTTAAAAGAAACCAGAGTTTTGCAGTTGACTGTATAGTTTATGCATCAGGGAAAAACTCAAGATTGTATCAATTCCTTGCAAGATGATTTGTTGGAATTGCAAAATCTGGCAGGACCAATGGGAGAAAGCATTCAGTTCTGACAAATTGCTTTGTTGTATGTGTTTATGAAATAAAAGGATCCATCAACAGACAAAAGTTCTGTAACCAAATTCTGCAATGGGTAGATGTACAACCATATATGAAGGTTCATCTTAGAATCAATCTTCAATTATGGTTCTACATTTAGCATACAATATCCTAAGCAAACAGGAGTTTTGGATTTCTGAGGATGAACCTTTGATGTTGCATAGTAAAAATCAGTACCTTATAGCTTACCAAATATTTGTTCATCCAATCCTGTAGTATGCCCAAAATGCATGGGATTCTTGTATAACAAGAGATTCAAGTAAGAGTAAAGTAATTCAAAGATTGCTATGCAAATTACAGGAAATACACCAGTTTTAGTGGTGGATCAAAAATTTTGAATGGCAGTCACTGTAGCAGAGGCGGAAGCAGCAGACTAACCATGATCTATAAAATATGGAATAGATAGAGAATTGGCAGAACTAAGTATTGGATAAGACATACTGCACTTGAAACATTAACTGTTTCTCGCTCCACAAACCTAACTCCTCAGCCCTTTGTTTTTATTTCAGATATCCAGTATCCTTGAAGTATTTAACTTTTATTTAAGTATCTGGTGCCATCTGGCAATAACATGTTACAAAGCACAAAGACCATTTTGTTTGCAAGACTAGTGTGTCAACAAACTGTCTTCCCAAGGACACAATGAAAGAAGCGGCCAAAGCAAATGGTCATAATCCCACAAATTTAGGAACTAAATAATAAATTTTCAAGACCTATCTTTGGATTATTTCCGTTCAAAGATTTTCACGGCCTGGATGACCAAATCACCAGATTGCGCCTGGGTTAGCCAGAGCTATCTACGTAAATATTGGTGGATACTGGTCTGTGAGCCCCTCAAAATGAAGCAGAGGCTGACCCATTCACTCCCACGAATCAGTCAAGTGAACCTTCTCTAAACTTTTTCTAAAGCATTTATTTTCTTTCCAATGTACGC